GATAAGCAACCTCCGACTGCAGGAAAATGTTTAGTGCCTCACAAGTTAAAGTCTGAGGTGAGACTCCTGCCGCTGCCCCAGCCAGCCGCCGCTCAGTGCTGCCAAACCGTGGGCTTTAGTTTTGCTTTTCAAAACCAGAACAGATTACTTTGTTGCTTGCGCTGGCTGCTGCTTTCACATCTGCAGCCACATCTGCTTGGCCCAGGAGGTGTTTCCTAGCGCTCTGGACTTTCACCAGGCCCGTTATGCTTCCCGGTCTTCTGGTCTTCAGTGTAACTCCCACCCCTGTACATCTGAGCTGGTCCTGAACACTCACCAAGTGATGACCCTGGTCCTCTAAAGAAGGGAGGCTTGATGCCATCACACCAGCTGAAAACATTCCTTCTCTGCTTTTCCAGTGGGCAGAGGGTTTGGTATTTAAAGTGGGATGGCAAACTGGCAGATGAGCCTTCTATAATTCTTCTCGAACTATTTTTCTTCTACCAGGTCTTGTCCTCCGAAGACCTCTGGCCACAGTTCAGGCCGGAACAGTTCCACATCTCGGTGCTGCTCCTGCAGGCTCTCGCCTCCTCTCCAGCAGGACTCGCCTCTTCCGCAGAGGAGACGGGGCAGCTGGGTCAGCGCGGCGGGAGAGGGCAGAAGGCAGGGCTGCAGGAAGCCACACGTGGTTCACCTTGCAGAACTTCTCTTTGCCAGCAACCGGGCCACAGGAGAGCTTGCACGTTGCTGGAAACTCAGCACATTTCCAATAGTTATGTGACTGTAGAACAGGCTTATTACTGGCGATGCTTCAAACTAAGACCAGCTCAGGCTGGAGGATGAGATCTTACTCTCAGACTGGAAAATCTCAACTGGGAGCCACCAGACCTACCTAGTGGTAAAAGGAGGATTTCAGGGAAGCCCTGGTCCCTGCAGAAGGTTTACCAGCAAAGAGGAAACAAATGGAAGAATCCAAGCCAGGAGACAGGAGAAAAACTGCTCAGATGCCACCTGCAGCAGGAACCAGCGCACGCTCCCCGTCTCTGCGGTGTTAGAGCCAAGCTGAATTCATCTTCTGGTCTCCAACCAGCAATTCAAAATGACTTATGAAAACCATGATGGCCCTGAGGGGAAAGGACGTACTCAAAGGGTTGTCAGGGTACACCTCGTAAAGTTTCTAGCAGACCTGGTACTGCGAGTACACCCGTGTGTGTGTGGATGTACATGTATATGTAAGGGTACAGCAAACAATTGTTCACATCAGCACCAATAAAGCTGTCCTAAGGAAAGGAAGATAATACAAAATTATTTCCTCCAAAATAACCTCATCCTATGGGGAAAAAAAAAAGTTTTCTTAACAAAGCACCAAAGGAAAGGCAACAAGAATCCAGTCATCTTTAAGTTAAACAGTATGTGGGTAGAAAAAAAGATCAGACCAATAAAAAAAGCACCAACCAACAAAGATCACTGAGGCTGTTGCATTACAGGAACTTAAAGACTATCAAAAATATGGATAACTGTAAACAGAAAGACTAGGATGTTGTCAGTCCAAGCTGGCCGGATCTACCCTACTAAATGTCTTGCATGTATTCAAAAGTTTCGGAGAATCCTTTGAAATTGTTCATGGAAATATGTAAACTACTGTTTGCCAGTTTTTAATTTACACATAAATATATGGCTACAGAATTTTCTATGTATTTTCTTACGCGGTGCCAGTTAAGAAAGCTGCGTAAGCACATGCCTGGCTGTGACCACAGGAGCAGCTCTACGGCAGTCAGCTAAACTCAGCCTGGCACGTCCTTAAGCACCTTCCTGAGCCGGGGGCCGAGCGAGCGCCCAGGCTCACGCAATGCGCAGCAGCACCACAGGGCTGCTGGCCGCCGGCTCGTCAGCCAAAGGGGCCATTACGTCTTGGGACTGTTTTCCTCCATCCTAAGTGTAACTCCCATTACTATTCCCAAGCAGTTTTATACAGGCGTAAAAGACTGAAAAGAGCCCATAGACAAGAAACCTGCTAACCTGGCCTAGGTATTACGGTTCGTTTGGATTCAGTGAAACGCTGTAATGATATTGCACTAATACTCTACCGTACCCTGTGAACCTAGCCGTCAAAGTGTTCAGATTAGCACTTATGAAACAATCTGTCATTTCCGTTTATAGTAGGCTTTAGAATTTGGCATCTCTGCCATAGCACCACTTTGATTTTTCCCCATTTTTAGTCTCTACAACATGGGCAATACTATGATGTTGGTAACATCTCTATAAGAGAAAAACATGGTTTGTGCCGTATTTCCATTTTAGTTTATTTTCCTAAGAGTCTCTTTTTTCCTTTTCTCAGCAATCAGCTCCTGAATTCTTTGATTCCTTGTCCTTTCATAGGGTATCCTCCTCCGTGTAATGATGTTGTGCTGTGATACTTCGTTATCCAACCCATCGATTTTATAGGGAACATCCACCGCATTGATTTCTGGGTGCTCCTCGGTTGCGTTGGAAGGAGGTGCACGTGGTTTGGCAACAAGAGGAGGGCTGGTGGCAGACTGTGTGGTGGACACTCCCGTGGGAAGGCTGAGGGTTGTCAGGAGCTCCTCCTCAATGACATTATTCTTATTTACGTTAGAATCAGTCACATTGTCGTCCTCTGTTACGTTGCTGTACATATTACAGGACTTGCAACACAGCTTATTGTAACCGGGAATGGAGCAGTAGCGGGAGAGAACCTCCATGCGACAAAACATTGACTTGTCTCCTTGACAATGATCTTCTGAAAGAGAAAAAGGGAACAGATAAATAAAGAGCATCTTCACATTAACCAGAAAAAGAAATACAGCTGAAGGCAGTGGGCAGAGGGTTTGGTATTTAAAGTGGGATGGGAAACTGGCAAATGAGCCTTCTATAAGCAGAAGCAGGCTTAATATTAAACCTAAACCTCAACTCACTTCAAGGGATGCGAAAGCTGATCTGAACTGTTTGTACCAGCCCATCCACGCTATAGACCGTAACATTCTAATTTTTGGCTTCGCATTCTGGAAGTGCTACCCTGAAGACCGTGCAGCCACGATAAATTGCGTTCCTGCCTTGGCTTAGAGTTCAAAACACACCAGTAGTGCTGTGTTGTTGCTAAAGCTACGTTAAACCCCTAGAAAGTCATCAAGGTTTATACTAAGAAATCTTTTGTTCGCTCCTTTTAATGCTTTTCTGCAATCTAACAGTGACTAACCACGGTCAGGGGTAATTTATGTTTACCTGGACCGTCTCAAGGAAGTCAAGTCTTATTTCGATGTGTACCGCGTAACTCTGAATTAATCCATCTCCCGTTGCAGTGATATTTTTGCTGGGCACCTGTACTCTGAAAACAGCAGCATTGCCTGAGCATGTCCCTTGCTTGAGAGAAAAGTGGTGCATTTAGCATAAGGTTTTTCTCCGCCTCCTAGAAGGGAGCTGATATTTTCAGAACAACAAACTCCAGTGTGATGGAGCCAAGCCAGTCCATTAATGACTGGGAGACTCAGTAACACGTCCTGACTTTTGTGTCACTGACTGGAAAACTGTAGTAAAACAGAAAGAATGATAATCGATAGGTCTTAAGCTGTGGATAGCTGTTATGACAATCTGCACTATAACAGAGGTGTTAGGGCAGATCCTCATCTTGCCGAAATCCAGATGGCAAAATGTAGGCTAAGGCATTAAAGGTGAACTGGTCAGGCTGTATTGCTGTCTGAGAAACACACACAGAAGCCTACTCAGAGACTACTCAAGCCCTCGTGATTTCTGCTGAGAGGAGGCAGAGGGCCCTACGAATCGGCGGCGGACGGATGGCGAGGGTTAGCAGGCTCCCTGCAGAGACAGCCACCCGTCCTCTGCCCCACAGCTCCTGGGCCTCCCGGCGGAGTGATGGGGCCAGGAACGGCCGGGAACTGCAGCGAAGGAGAAGTCCCAACACGCAGCCCACGCTGAAAGAAAGAGGAGTCCGAGGGCTTGTAGGAGAGGGGAGGGCTGAGGAGAAAGGCAGCCTGACCAGCACAGGGCACAGTCAGTAACAAAATATTTTCTGTCACCAGAGTGCTGAGACGGAGATGAAATCACTTCTGCCTCTCTCCCTGCTCTTACTACATCTCCACCTACTCTTACAGTAAAGGATGAGTAACTCCAATTACTCGCCTTTATTTAGAGCGTAGCCGATGGCAGACAGCGTGCTCAAGTCAGCTGTTACTGGAGCTCGTGTGTCACCGTCCTGCTACGCACACTGACTTACCCTGTCAGCAACCTCACAGCAAAGCAGAGAACCGGAGCAGATTCAGAGACACCAAGTGAACTCAGAAAGCGTAGGCGTCGCCTCTTCACTCATCCTCAGTTAACAAAACAGGGCATTATAGGTGTTGAATTGGCAAACATATCAGTCTAAAATAAGCTAGTAACTGTTGCTGCTGCTTTAAAATGCTAGTGCTGGCTGAGGAAGGTGGAAACACCTTCCTTGCATTGTATTTTCGCCCCGATCGTTGCATTTGTTGCAGAAAAGCAAAATTCTGGTTCCTATTTTCAAATGTGTCACTTCATTTTCGTATTTTTCAAATGCTAAACTGAGATGCTGCGGGAAAGAAAGAACAACTCCTTCCTTAGGAACCTAAGAATAGTACCTTGGTTTTGGAGACATTTTCAAACCAGTCTTTAAGAGCTGGAACTGTTGGCATCTGCATGCACAGCTCTATACAAAGAAGGGCACGTGCCTGTACAGCTTTATATGTATTTTTACATACGCGTAGAGTCCCCTTTGAACATTTTGCCTTGTGTTGCATGACCTTAATGCAAGCTTCTCCAAATGGCTTGCAAAATAAAAGCCAGCAGGTATAACATTTAAATGTAGTTTCAACAAGGCAGATCTGTTCTTGGCTTTGTAAGAATCACTAAAAGCACCTTTAGAAAAATGCCTTTTGTTTCCTGTCAAAAATACGTAATGTCAAGCTTAAAAATATATGAAAATAAATCTGCATTATGTAATATGTTTAGTGACATCTGATAAATTATGTAAATAAACTCTGTAACTTATGAATGTCAGAATGAAATTTTTATCCTCTATCCAAACCAAAATATCCAGATTCGCTGAACTTTTATTTATTTTTACTTGCAGTATGCATGACAGACTGGAAGTATATCTTCAAAACATCAGTAAGAAAAAAATAAATCAGTTTCACAGTCACTTTGGTACACATTAGTCTCATAAAAAAATATTGAAGAGCAAACTGAATTGGCACATCTTTAATATTATGTTAAATACATACAAAACACTAATAAAATATCCCTGATAAACCAAAGTGCATATAGACATAGTGCACAATGCCCAGATACCTTATTGCACCATTCTCTATAGCCACCCATCTCTTGAAACATCACTAAACATTGTCTATTTAAAGGTAACAGTCATGAATATATTTATACAGTTAAACACCAATTATTTTACATAACAGTATTCAGTGCCAGAGACGTGTCTTTGCTTTTTCACCTTGTCATGTAAATTGTTAACATGTTTCAGGAAATTATCATATTAACAGCAAAATTTAAATATGTGATCACATGATAATGACAAGTTTGAAGTGCTACACTGTTGACGACCCAAAGATTCAAAAATGCCACTTTTCCAAAGAATATGACCAATGCAATAAGGTAGTAATTTGCTCCACGACTGCAGTTTTAAAGTTGATACGCTTCTACTATTGGTACTGACTGTCACAAACAGGTTTATGACTTACGAATTCCAAATCTTCAACACAAACACAGAAGGTGAAGCAAGAATGCCAGTTAAATTTCAGTAAGTCAGGTCACAATCCTGTCTTGATGAAGGTATGGATATGCACTGTGCAAATTAACCTCGGATTAAATTTACTGCCTTTTAATAGTTATCATTCAAGTAAAAACACTCCATATGAAGATTAACTCAAGGTACCAGTGTACTGTTTATATTTAAAGCTGGATCTGGTAAATTAATGCCATTTACATTTCAACATTAAGGCATTTTTCTAAAATTCTTCTTCTACGCAAAAAAAGCAATAAAAATTGAGGTAATTCTGTAGTAGTTCACACTGTTATGTTTGCCAGTTGACACATCTATAGAGCATACACACACACACACACACACAACCGTACCAGTCAAGTCAGACATGCACATGGTGAAAAAAGACCAGAGATGTAATGAGTATAAACAGCTCCGTGCTGAGCAGCTGGAGACATCGTAGTCGATGAAAACATCATATTGCCTCCGCCAGGTTAAGAGAAACACCACCACGCAACCTTCAACATGGACCATGCCTGTTCTGCCTCGGTTTTGTTTCTAAAGTGAAAGTACACAAAACTGGCAAAAATTGCGCGACGGGAAAAACGAATGCAGCTTTTCTCAAGGAAAAATATGTCAAACCACCACCAGGCGTTTGGCGGGAGCGGCGGCATCATAGCAGCACGGAAAGTACCGACAGAAACTGAGCTTCTGCTTCCCGGTGAGCCCTCCACGGGTTACAAACATAAATGTGAGGGTCAGGAATAAAAAATGAGCAGCAAGGGTGAGTAAAGCAATGGCACCGCAAAGGAAAATGGAATTGAAAAATTCTTTCACTCATCAGACTACCCTGTCAGCGAACTGAAACTAGAGAGCTGTGAGATTTAGGGTTTTTAGATAAAGGAGAACTTTAGCACTACAAGGTGTCATTATTGTGATGTGATCACATTCACAATAAGTTCTCAGTTTTGCTATCAAACTGAACATCATGAACCAGTAAGAGCCTTTTTTCACCATCACCAAGCAACAAGCAAACCGATCCCAGCTCCCTTTCAGAGGACTGCAACATACTGTGGAGATCCAACTTCACACATCCAACACTTCAAGACCTCCACCACCAGTGCTACGCAAGCTCCAGAGAAGAAAGACACCGAGCACCAAGTGCCTGGTGTGAAAAAAAGATTCAGCCCAAGATTTAAACTTGGCAAAGTCAAGGGAACTTTCCGCATAGAGAGAAGAAGAGAGCAAAAGGCAAAGTCCACATTTGGTGTGGCATGCATTTAAGGGCAAAGGCAGAGTTATAAATGGGTCTTTTACTTGAAGATATTTTCTGGATGGGGTAGTCTGGATCAGGTCTTGACAGCCATTGTATCATGTAGGTTTTCTTTGAAGGATCGGAAACGTTTCCTTGAACAGAGGAAAAAAAAAGATGTAACACAACGTATGTTAGCATTAAGTAGTTGACCTGTCAGAAGTGGGTAAGCTAAGAGAGTGAGCAGGCGCCGATGGTGAAGGAGCCTGGGGGGGATTATGACCCGTCTGTGCAGTTTTGGGCAGAGGGTGGTGTTTTGCACGTTTGCTACAACTTGTGGCCGGCACTGGACAGCCCACACTGAAGACAGCCTGAAGGCCAGTTCTCCAGCAGTACTTCTCACAGCAGTGTTAAGTATGTCCTAAGACACATTCAGACTAGTTTAGTTATACTGCCTCTTTAAAATCTTTGTATTGGAGACCATAATTGACAGCTTGTTTCTAATTAATTAGGAATCAAAAGCTACCCTGAGAAATACATCAGGAATAAAAGAAAAATATGAATTACTTAGTAATAGGAGTATGTAAAATGATCTCACAAGTATCATTTGCAAACAGCTGGAAAGCTAACAAGGATAAAGGCATTAGTGTCCTGGATTAAGTAGGAACAAATTTATTATAGCTTAAAAAAATTGAGTTAGGTAACCCCTGAAGATAACTTGTGCTTGACAGAACGGAAAAGAAGCCCGGGACTGTCGCTGGAGGAGGGTAATGCAAAGAAGGTTCTTTATACATGGTGCCCTTGATCAGCCACAGCCCAGCAGCCTCAGCAAAGCCTAGCACGTCTCAGGGGCGCGGGGCCGGATTCAGGCAGTGCTTCCCACCCGGGGAGCCGTCGTCTGCTGGCCGGATCCAGCCATCGCCGCTGTGCTGAGCTCTGCCCCAGCCTCTCATGCTGTCCTGGGGCAAGCGGTGCTCCCCACCGTGAGAAGAGAGCAACCACGAGCCCAAGCAGCCCATCGGCCACACAACAGCTCTGCATTTGGGAAGTCTGCTCAGAACCGGGGCTATGGAGAACTGCCACCCCAGGCGGACGTAGCACACAAGTACAAATTCGATAAAGACATTTCAAATAAATACAATCAACATAATTTTTTTCCGCAAGTAATATATGCTAGAGAAGACAAGCACTTACTTGGACATGGAGGTAGTCTGCAAATCCTTACGGTCTCTGGTTTATTTTCTTTACAAAGGCCGATAGCATTGTCCCTGGTCCGGCACAGGACCGGGCGATCCTGCGTGCCATTGCCGCAGCTGACAGAGCACTGAAAGGAGACGCACAGTTAGACCCCCAGCCGCCCTTTGGAAACAATGCATTAGAAATTAGTTTTTCAATGTTAAACCACTGCCCTTGATTTGAGCCGACGGGGTCCAGTATTTGAACCACTGCAGTAACTAAGCAAGAGGGAGAACCACTGCTTTTTGTGGTATACCGGTAATTGCGAAACTCCAAGAAAGAGCCTATGGTCTGAGCAATAAAGAAACAACTGTAAATGTGAGGCATCTATGCACAGTGTGCACCAGGGATGGCATTGCTTGTGACAGCTATTCAACCCAGTGAGGGTAAAAATTGTTTGTGCTTATTTGCATGGCACAGTTCCAAAATAAAATGTTGTCTCTTCAAATGCAGCCACGTTTTTTAAACAATTTAATGGAGAAATGCTGAGAACTGCAAGGATCCCGTATATCAAAATTATAAGAACAATTTAATGTTCTTATAATATTCCACTCACATTTCTTGCCTTCTGATGACTGCAAAGGTTTGCAAATATGAATAGGTGGAGCTTCTTATTGCTCTAGTAAACACTGTAGCAAGAAACAGTCTGTGCACAGCGGCATCGCATTTCTTGCTCACGCAGTGAGTTAGCCAAAGAGTCAGGGATGGAAAGCACAAAATGCCCAGCCCCTGACACTTGTTCTGGGAGCGACTGAATCCTGTTTTGCTCATAGCAATGGTGAGCAAAATGGTTCATGAATAGGTGCCCTGTATTTCCATAGTAAACTAGGTGAAAAACTCTGTCCTTTGGGTTACAGACAGAACCTTATGAGACTGAGCAGCTAAATCTGCTGAAGGCCTTTACATCGAAGATGCTCGCACCTTTGAATCTCCACAAGTGTTGGTGCCTAACTTCCTTAGGTGCCCTTAATCAGAGTGTCTGAAGACTTTAGTCTTCTTTACTTGAAAGAATAGAACAGTGATAAAAGAATTAATTGCCCTTCTCTCAGCTTAAGTCAACAGGTAAGTGATTGCGAGCAGAATAAAGAGCAGGTAGAAGCTTTCCTGATGCTGCCATCTTACATGGGTGGTGCACAGGGTCTGGATCACGCAGCATCACCACAGGATGGCTTTTCTGGCTCTTTCACTACCACCATAGAATCATCTAACTCACTTTCTGTGGCACTAGTAGCTGTGGAAGCAATACACCCTCTGTATAGATACTAGTTTATTGTCTCAATGCATTTGAATAGAAAGCACTGAACAAACTCCAAGGTTTTCTCCCCTGCATTGTAAGAAATTAGTTGCCTGAGACCTCCAGAGAGAAACTGACCTGTGACCAGGGTCCTATTCTCCACTGCGCTGGGCAGAGCTCCCGGTTGCAAGGCCTCCTGCCTTCTGGACGGTCGTTGTTGCAGTACTTGGTATGAACAGACCGATTTGTGTTATCGTGTAGAGGTTGGATACATCGGACAGATCGTACTTGATATCCCGTTTTCCCACAACTTTTGCTGCAAGGCTCCCATTCTCCTGTAACCCATCTGGGTTAGTGAAAAGAGAGTAAGTTGAGTAAAATTCTCTCTCTCCTAAATTAGGTGAGTTCAAACTGTCTCTTGAACTGTAACTCTTAAGGTTTAACAGGATATTAATACTAGTTCTGATATGGAAAAGGAAGAAGATATGAAAAACCATAAGCAGTTATGGAGAGGGTTATTTGACCATGTCCCTGAAAAATCAGTAATAAGACCCAGACCTTTAAAATTACTCTTTCTCATTATCTCCGAGATAAGCATTATTCTGACTTTGCTTCATTTGCTTTGATTTTAAGCTGGCCCTTCCAAGACTGCACATAAGAATCTGGTAGATTTTATGTCAAAAGCAGCCACCCAAGGGTGCTGCTGAGCTTCCCAGGTCTTGGCGCATGAGTTGTGCCTTGTCTCATACTGCGGGGAGACCTGAGCGTGCACCAGCCGTCCCCACAGCTGGTTCCCACAGGAGTGAATCCAAAACACCTGGGCTAGAAATGCAGCTCCAGCCTGGCCCGTATCTGGCTACTCCATGGACCTCAGCCCCGGCCATGCTAGACACCGTCTCGCTGAAGCGCTGGCAAACCCAGCTACACCATCAATGCTGTGCGTGCTGAGCTCAGGGGAACTGGAGTCCTCAGCATCATAAATGTTTCGTTTTGGGAAGGCAACACTCACTGAAAATCAGGAGGTCTGAGTTCATAATGTGTAAATCAATTTGGCCACTGAAAAATGTCACCTATGTTTTGTAATGTGGCGTAGTTGAAAACTTTGCTGATCATCCAAACTGGCTCAAGAATTACACCTACAAATTGTAAAGAACTTAGAGAAGAGCAGCAAGGACAGACAGGACCAGAGCAAATTTATGGAGACTACTGAAAGCTTGGTTGTAATCCAGTAAGTGAAGATATACAGCAGTCTATAAATATTTACAGAATGCAGAGATCTGCAAGAAGGAAATATTGTTCAATATATTCATGGGATAAACTTAACCAAAAAATATATATAGTTTGAAGACATATCCTGACTTTGAAGCAATTGTCCTAAATACTCATAAAATCCTGGTTTTAGAATAGTCAAGAAATAGCATGGGCACAAGGCAACGCACTAAATGCTCAAGTTAAACAAAAAGTAAAGTGGCAATTTCACCCAACTTTCTCTTTCTAGCCTTGAAATTACACAGTGGAGGAAGGCGAGCGCTGTGGAGCACAAAGCCATGAATCCTAAGGTGATTTCTGAGACAAAGATGATTTTTTCCCAGCAGTGAAGCAGCAGCTATTAGTGTAGTGAGTGTCACAGAGTTTCATGAAGTCTCTTAAATAATTGCCTCTCCCATGTACAAGTGCAAAATGCTCCGATGCCATTCTATGGAAACAGAGGTGACTGAAACATTCAGGAATCCAAGTACAATTTAGGATCCTACTGAGTCTTTGTGGTACCTGGGTCCAATTATATTTGCAGCTGAAAGAAGAATACAGTCCTTTCCAGAGAGCCTGAGATACGATTAGGTCATTACTTCAGTTTTCCAATAAATAAATGTTAAACCCTGACCCATGCTGAGTTTATGGGGCACAGTTTCTTGACTTTTCTCTCTTTCAAATCTTTTTTGAAAGGAAGTTAGGAAATATTGTGTGGTATGTTCTACTTATTTGCTGTGCTTCCTGGAATCGAGACTTGGTCCCCAGAGATAAGAGCTGGGATCAACATACTTCTTTCTTGTTGCAGTAGCAACACGAGGAGTACGTGAGTCCTACATGTGGCAGGAGTAACCTGCTGCCAGTCAGAAAAAGCACCTGTAAAATGTGAATTAAAATATTTGTAACACTTGACCATGTATAGCACAGATGAAGGTACAACAGACATCCCATGCTATACGAGGGCAGCCACAGAAATCTAACAGGCCAAATATTTTTCCCTATGTTTAAATGTCCAAAAATATGCTGTGAACTTTAGGAAGCTTTGGATTTGAGGGCTGTATGACATTGGTTTTCTTATGTAGCACTCTGTAAATTTGTTCTTACATGGTTAATTCACACTATGTAAAATCAACTGGTATAAATTGAATTTATGTCTATTTTTTATTACCTCAAGATGGCCTGAACACAAATGTCTGGATCAAGAGAGTGCTTCTTTTCTAATCCAACTTATTTCAGAAGTAATAGGAACCAGCAGTCCCAGAAATAGTATTTCTACGAGCAGAATACAGAATCACATCCTCACAGCCCTGGCTCTCTGTAGTGATGCATGGAGGTGAAGCTTAAGTGCCCTTCTTTCAGCCGGCCAGTGCCAGCCGGTGTAACGCCCATCGCAGGCGCCGGCGGGCAGGGATGCTTACATGGGCTGGGAGCACTCCTGGAGGTTGCACACCCTGCGAATGGGCTTAGGCTTTTGGATCAACTCGCAGTAACTCCGATGAACCATCTTGTGGTCTGTCTTCCTCCGGCAGCCGTATTTTGTGAATTGGTAGCCTGAAGAAAGACACTCCTCTTATTTTCAGTGTTGGTAGATCTTACACAGGACTCGGGTTTCAAACAAACTGCACATACACTGTCAAAGGCTGCAGCTGGAACTGCAGGTGAACACGCTACAAAAGGAACTGCAAATCGCACCGAATAAACACTTATTCATGTAGATTTAGCACCCAGAATTGCTCATCCCCTTTATTTTTCACTACAGGCTATAATGAGAAAAATAATGTCATCTAGCATTTCAAAAATGTTCTGCAAACCTGCACAGCCACATTCAGGGGCTGCAAGCTGCCCAGCAGCCCGGTGAACAGCACCAGGGTACACCTCTGGCCCCAAAAGCTGGGGTCTTCACATTGCAAGCTCCACATCACAGGATGCAGATTTACTGAGGGCTGCCCCGGGGCACCTTGAGGTTTGGCACTCTCGCAGCTTGGAGACCCTCACCCAAATCTTGCACATTTGTACAATTTTTCAGTTTCATAAACATAAATCAGAAATAAGCCACCCCAGATCTGCCCTCAAAACCATTTAAGTCAGATTTTTAACTCCATTTGCTATTTATTTATCTATTTCTTAATTTAAATAAAACGCTCCCATACTCCTGGTCTCCCTAATGTCTTGTGGCAATGAATTCCACACATGGTGTTCATTCTTTCAGTTTTCTCCTAATCAATTTTGAATGCTTTGGGGTTTTGTTTTTACCTCCTCCACAAGGTTTTGAACATTGGGACCATTTCTTCAAAGCCCATTCATATGACACCGAGTCCTCTTCCAAAACATTATTGTTATCTACATTCAAGGAATCTTCATGGATCATGTACTTGTAAGTCAAAGATATCTTGGCACCACCGTGAGGAATCACCTAGTAAGCAAAACAGATGTAGGGGAAAAAAGATTTGAAAGACTGATATCAGAAGTTATGCGAGATGACGTGAAATAGCAATCATCATGGCTCAGACATGAAAACATCCCCGGAGGGATTTAAACCTTTTAGCTGCACTCAACACTTTTTTTTTTTTCCTGATGAAAAAGTATCTCTATCCTTATGACACAGAGTTTCTAAACTGCATATTAAGAAAGACTGTTGTTGATTTAGACTGATTTTTCTTGCCAGCGTTGGACTGACTTCACGGTACTAAATTTTTTCCATATCCCATCATAAAGGAAGGAAATGTTGTACTAAAATGATAATGGATAGTTCCACTAAAAGACAAGGCAAATTCAAATGCACAGATAACTGAAAGCAGTGAAGAAAATTGCTTATATTTCTGATAAAACACAAATATTCTCATGATAATCCTGGGAATTCTGTGAAGCTTGTTACTTAATCCTGACAGAAATATAAACTATTTAGAAAGAGTTTTTGCTATCACACTGCACTAAGACTAACGCAAGAAAATGGAACTCAATCTAAATAAAGTGCAAAATATCAGTCCTTTGAAAACATATTTATTCCTCCTTTGACATTCAGCTGGTGTAGATCAACACATGACAGCTGCTTTCAGAGGGATTCTGAATCAACCTACCCCTACTCATTGTAGTCTATCGTTTGCTGGTTTGCAATGAAAAAAGAATATAGTTGGGTGGATTTGGGAGCTGCAGAACTGGCTGTGCCCTGACAAAGTGAGCCTGGAAGCACAAGAATCCTGCATCTGCCTTTGCAGGATACATTTTCAAAGCATGGACGGGAGGAGGAGCTATTAGATCTATCTGATACGAACCATTTTGACCTTTTTTTACTAATGCTTACATGTCAGATATGATAAGTAAGCTGGAGAGTCTTTCCGCAGTGGCCGTTTGCTAGGCCATCCACAGGAAATAATCAGGAGAGTTGGTTGCTCAACACATAACCCTGAGTTATAACAACTCTTGTACAGAGCGATGAATTAGGAGAAAGGAATTAAAATAAATCTTCTATTGTCTTATAATTGAGGCAGATGTCTTCTTGTAACTCACAAGAGGAATCTAAAATATATTATAGCACATTATGGCTCTGTAACCCTGACATTGTGTTCTGTGGAAGATGGTTTTCATTTGACTTACCAGAATAACTATTCCATTACGCAGCGGCCCCATGGTCTGCACGGTTTCTCTATCATCGTCATTCCGATACTCCCACTCCACACCCATGTCAATAAATACTTTAGAGTCTGGCACATAGTTGTCTTCGCTTAGAATGAATTTCCCCGTTTCACGATTTTTAATTGCTAGGAACAACATAAGAGAAGTGAATACGAGAGGTTCGCTTCTCATCTTGAGTTTTGTTCTGCTCTTGTCCCAGTGGAAGAAGCAGAAAAGGCCAGTCTGCATTCTCCCTCTGTTCCCTCACAGGGTTGGAAAGACTTTTTCAGGTGTTTCACTGAACTGCCAATGCTTTCCTGCTCAGCTCCAGAAACATCAATTGTCCTTTTTTTTCTTTTTCACAGCCTGCCTTGCCAGAGAAATGAGGCCAGCACGACTGCACCGCGTGTGTCCGTCTGCCTGCTCCCGACTAACAACTTCTGAATCCACTGGCCAAATCCGAGCCAATTTGACAGCCAGTGGGGGTCCCATGGCTACTCAGCCCTTTGACATGTTGTAAGGCAGCTGAGGGGGCTGTTACTGCTCCATGAGGGAAAGGCTACTGAGCTAGCCCCCAGTGGGTCCCCACAGCGAGAGACGCTAGACACCGCATTAATTCTCCCGCTCAGATCCAGCCCTGACACCGACGCAGCCCTGCTGAAGCTCCCGCTGCTTCGCAGGCGCCTGCCGCTGCACACAGCGCCTGATTCCTCTGGTTCAGCTGTAATCGATCCCCCAGCCTTCACGTGGGGAGACGTCAGCCACCTTTCGGTAAGGACTCTTGGGTTTCTCCCCAGATGGAAAACTTGCACTCCTCCTTAGAAGAAGCAGGGACTGTTTGTTATTTACCACCAGATTTTAACTCCCTTCTCTCTCTAGCAGCTGCCTGAGCATCCTGCTCCCTCAGCGCTGGCCTCGGCAGACAGCAAGCTGTTCATGCCCCCCGTGTATCGCTTACCCCGCACCGAAAGAAGAACCTTGTCTGAACCGGCAAGCGATCGCTCTCCTGATCCTCGGGGCAGGCTGCACGGAGCAGCAAGGGAAGCGTCGCTGGTGAGAAGCTGAGAGGACTCACGATACAATTAGCAGGCCATGCGCTGTGAATCTACTTCCAATTAATAACAGCCGACTAGACACTGCTTCGCATTGATTACAGGGCACTGCGAGGAGCGGATTTCAATTACTTTCTAAGCTGTGTGATTGATTGGGCAGCCTTGCGTCAATACTGTCAGCAATGGGCAGAACCTGACACGGATTGGGATGTGGCTGGGAAATGACTGAGGATGGGAAGCACGTTACGAGAGATGTACACGAAGATAATGCGTTGCACCCCTTAATGTAATTCAGCTCTTCTTCCAGCGGCTTTCACACATGCACATGCCAATGCAGGGATCTTCTGGCTAGGACACCGGGGAATACAGCACAGGGAAATCAAATTGCCAAACAAGTTTCCTAATTTAACATACTTAAAGGAGGTATGTGGTGTGGGAGGGTAACAAACGCATAAACACACTGTGAGACTCCAGAGACAAAAATAAACATCTGAAAAAAATATTCTGACAGAAAATTTTCCTACTTGTACATACTTACCGAGATTATGACTAGTGGCGTCTGTTTCCTGTATAAGTAAATGTCTTGCACCAACAGGAATTTCAAACATCTTAATGTGACCTTTATTGTAGTGTTTGAAAAGATAGTAACTGGTTAGTGTGCCACGAACAGGAAGAGTCTGTCTTAGGTTTTAAAATAAATCTTATTTTCTAAAAGCAGGGTGTATTACAGCAAGCTGAACCTAATCCAGCATCATTCCCATCCCTATTTCTGTGCCTGGTGATGGAACATAACAGGGACAAAGGGCTTTGGGCCAGAATAAAAATGCCTTAAGTATCATCAACTCACTTTGCTTCAGAGTAAAACGGGCTTTGAGTGCGATAGTACCCACAGAGAGAGACCACGCAAGCTCCTGTCTGACAGTGAGTGATGACGACATATTGTTGCAGCACTCCAGGGACTCGGACGGAGCGGCTGAGTGACAGCAGCAGCACAAGTAAGTCCACAGCTCTCCACCACAGAGCGCTGAAGCCCTCCCCTACGCATGCACAGGCCCTGATATCAGCAGACTTAACTGACCACTGGACAAAAGTCTTATTTTCAAAACCTAGACAGATCTCAAAGTAAAGTCCAGAGAGTTTATTGGAATAGTGATGCTGTAAATGATTGCTCTGGTACTTCCCATGAAACAGAAGAGATCAAACAAAAATACCCTGAATTCCCCAGGACAAAACACACTGAATGCACTGACCTTGTTTCTTTGGTACTCTTGAAAATGTTCCTTTCACCACTTTGCAGTGGGAATTATCTCCGCCACAAACACCACACTTATCTTCCTGCTTCGTGGAACCTATGACCCTGTCACACCCAACTTTCTGTGCACAGAAGAGAAAACCAGTCATTCTTATTTATCCACGCTTCAATTCAAATGAGCCTTCACTTCAGATATCAAAATCCAGACTTGGCTTCAGCAAAAAAGTACAAATTGTAGTATTCTCCTGGAAGACCGACATCTAAACAGATTTTAATACTTCCAGTTCTTGTAATAGCTGTTGATCAGGTGATTATATTTTTATATTATGCTTCACAGTAGTCCTCTTACCGAAGGAAAGCAGCATGGTTAAGGAAAAGCTCTTAAGCCTCAGCTTATCTTAAAGCAGATGCTTAAATTCCAGGAGAATCAAAGCATCTATGCGAGGATAAGCACCTCCACCAGTGCTTTGCTAAGTCAGAGCCTCTAATTCTGTTGAAAGATGACCTGTGGCAGATGCCAACTCAGAGGAACTGTCATTGATTTTTTAAAAATAGCATGATCAAATACAGAGAGAATGCACATCAGCCGAATCTTAACACCACCTTCCTTGAAAGCTGCTGCATGTTCCTATTTCATTGTACATTCCACCTCCACTAATTTTTTTAGGAAAAGCTTTCGTTGAAAGCTAATTGTAATAGTTCATCTTAAAATACTGCATTAAATATTACTTGTGTAGGTAGGCGCTGTTGGAATTGAGTCACATGCAAGGTGATGGCAAAACCTGCAAATATCACACATAATATTGTGACAAATATCCTAACGAAATCTCCTTATTGCCCAAAGCATTATTATACTTACTTAGTCACTCAAGCTACCATTTTAAGTATTTTCACAATACTAAGCTCTGAAACAAGCCATCAAAAGCTTACCAAGCAGTCTCCCCGCACACAAATGCTGTAAGCGTCTTTGTAGGAGCAGCGGGTCCCATCGTGAACCATCCTCTTCATATACACCACATCCCCTGTTTCCTTTGATTCGCAATACAGGTGGCACCTTTCCTTAGCTGAAAAAGAAATGAACCAAATGGTGCGTGTTCAGCTCTAACAGTTTAGTTGCTGACTTTGTGAACAGCACTCTCAATAATGTTGGCTCTCTCTTCTTCCTTGCATGCATCACAGAACACGACACGGTACCCCATAAATCATCGACGCTTATCCCCTTTCAAAGGCTATGTGATCATTTGGAAACTGCTGAATCATAAAGCACCCATGTGTCATCATTAGGAGACGGTCTTAAAAATAACAGAGCATTACTTTGATGGGGGGGCCTCCATTTAATCCTTTGTCAGATGACGCAATCTGGCAGAGGTTTCCACAGTCTGCTACGTGACTACCTGTGGGAGAAGCAGGTTTCTGCATCAGTTTCTCCTGCACTGCCCTTAAATCTGAAAAAAGCAAAAGTCATTTTGCCATTAAAAGTCGTTGTTCCACACTGAGTGAATCGGGCATCCAAAATGTCTTCAGAGGCAGCTGGGCCACACCGTTCCCTGCTAAACATGAAGCTAATTCTCCCTCATTGTTGTACTTGTATTTATGATAGTTTAAATCATTAAACAAGACGAGATGTCAAAGAGATTCAGAAAAAAACATTTTTTTACTGCTAGCACATGCACAAACAGCCAGACAACTGTACCTCTTTCTCCTATCTGTTCCAAAGAGCTAAGAACAAAAAATAAAGCTGAAATGGCTAGTCAGTGGCTGAATAAAGTTGTATTCCACCAGTGTGTTTCATTTTACCCATATCTCTTCCTGTCCCCAGCCCCATAATAGGATTCACTATGCTTTCCTTGGCAGTGAAGAGCAGATGCCTTTCTGTTAGATGAAACAAATAAAGATTCTGCTATTTTAATATAATTAAAAGTAAAAATTTTCCCGCCATTTAAAACAGTAACGACTTTTCCATTATAGCAGTTCAATTAAAATAAATCTTCACAGGCCCTTTGCGTTCTTCCCCTGTACAGTTCCATGGCCTCTGCCCTCTTTTAATAAAGTCCTTGTTATTGCTGTTGATGTCCTTATGGCCACTGGGTATTAGTACATCAGAGACTTTTGTTACTGCTCCTGAACAACGCAGAGATGTCATGCTAAAGATGTAGACTATTAAAACAGGTACTTTACTTCTCTTGTGCAGATTCTTAATAGGGGACTATTAAGATCGTAATAATCACAGACCTAATGTATTTACATATATTAGAAACACTAAACTGTGCACAAGACAGACATGCACACACACAACCCCTGCCTATGTACCGACACCCACCCCACACATACCATACATTCACTGTGCGCGATTAAATGAAAAGTGTCTGCAGGCCTGACTGGGTGCCAACAGCTCTGTACAAGGGCTTTATTTTAGAGGGTCCTCTTCCAGTGCTCCATGGGAACAGTAAACGTGCAAGTGCCGTTAGCTTGGACCCCATTAATTGCAAAGAATTATTTTCTTTCTATTCACTGGTGTTGGGCATAGCAGAGGTGCAAGAGCAGGGAGGTGAACATATGCCTGTCCGTTCCCTGCTCCCCATGCGTTTCCTTCTCATTTAATTGAGCTGGGAGCTAATAGCCAATGTCACTCTACACTGCCCTGGCAGATGCGCGGCAGAGGGTACGTGAGCCCAGCAGAGGCTGGGAGATGGTGCTAAGGGGCTTGGAGCAGGAGAGAGGCCGTGGCGCGCTGCTCAAGCACGCACCGGCTGTGCCCAGCTTGGCGGCTCTTCTCTGGATGAGATGCTCCTCTGTCCCCATCACACACACAACGTGTCAGACACGTCCAGCTAAGCTGCGTGTCAAGTGTACGGATTAATGTCGCTTTTGAGCCGTGACTGCATTATCTGCACAAAGTATGTCACTGATACGCCTTATCTTTACAAAAGGGAGTTTTAAATATGTTAGAGTTCAAACATAAACGACCCTCTGGCCTTGTTTTCATACAAAAGCTGTTCCCTCTAATTACCCTGCACAGGTAAATGTATCTCTCACAAAGGGGGCTGCACTCATACCATAGTTATATGGGAAACCAGCGGTGCCCAGTGATCAGTGCCCAGACATCAGTGAGCTGGTTTCTGACCCAGAAGCCATTGAATTTAATAGAAAAACACCCGATTAGTTTCAGCAGTCTTTGCAGCAGACTGTTCCAAAGGCTAAAGCAGAAGCAAAGGTCTGCGGGCCACAGTGTTCGTCCCCATTCCCTGCGCCAGCAAAGCTATTTCATGAAATTAAGCCGTGAGGCTGTGTCTGCGCCTCTGAAAATCCCAGATTGCACAAGATGGCATGAAAAGAACGAGGGAACCCTGAGAACTGTTTGGGAAGAAAGTCAGGCAAATTAATTACAAGGAATTTGCTATTAACTTCTGGCAGAGTACCCTCTCACTGGAATGCAGAATGGTTCACCCAAAGTGACCCTTCCACTCCCCAGGACGGGCGCCCGGCTGCGAACCCTGGGGTGCCCGGTACCCGCCCCGCGCCAGGCAGCCCTGCCCTGCAGCACCTGTCATTCAAATGAAGTCGCCAGGTTCAAAAACAGCGAGCAGCCCGCACTCCTCGTCAAACCAGCTGAGAATCATTGCCCTCTGCCTTTCTGTTTTGTAAAACCTCTTCTCAGTTTTCAACACAACGGGCAATAGCACGGCAACGGCCCTCGTGGCCCAAACCAACCAGCTGCACTTTCACTGACAATTAAGCAGAGGTGCTAACAGGAAAAGGAACATTCTTCTTATAAGAGGCGATCTCTGCCGAGATGCCAGAACATCAGACTGACAGTGCTGGTTCAGACCCGGCGACCGTGCAACCCAACCCCTGCCTCCGACAGTGCAGCAGTGTTTGCAGGAAGATGTAAGAACAAACCTGGTACTTTCCTCAGATTATTCTCCAAGTTCCTCGCAAACTGCAGCTTGGGGACTTCCTAAGTCATGGCTGGAGCTTGGTGTTTAGTAGCTCTTAATGGATTACAGAACTTTCAAGAATTTCTCTAAATCACTTTTAAAACTTTCTGGCATCTGCAACTCCCTGTGGCGAAGAATTCCAGTTTAATTATATGCTGTGTGGAAAAGCACTTCCTCTTATTTGTTTTAAATCTGCCACCTGATAATTTTATTTGATGTTCCCAGGCTTGTGTCAGAAACAGTGAATAATCATTCCATGTCAGTCTCTTCATGCCACTCACAATTCTGTAACTCTATCTTTTTAATCTAAATCATCACTTTTTCAGGGTGAAAAGTCCTAGTTTATCTAAACTCTCCTTATTCAGAAGTCACTGCTTATGTTTGCTCTATTCAGGCCTTTCCGAGTTCAGCTGTGGGTTTTTCAGCATTGGGGGCAGCAGTGAGGTGAGCACGACCTGAGCTACACTGGCAGAGTATTTAAAATGGAGACACATCATGCAGGTACAGAATGGCAGATCAGTGTTCTCCATCCCTCTCTTGACAGTCACTGAACTGATGTTTTCCTAAAGCTATCCCCAACCCCCACACCTTTCTCTTCAGAGCCCACCTTGTGTACGACCCATACACATATACACACTTAGTATTTTTTATCCCCATATCCATTATCGGCATTTATCAACTTCATTTGCCACATTCAGTCACTTAGTGTCCCAAGGTCCTTCTGCAGCTCTCACTGTAGGCCTTCTTATTTTCATTAGCCTGAGTAATTTTGTATCCCGAGCAGATTTTGTCACCTCGTTCGCTCCCTTTCCCTGCTCACTGCCATGCGTGCTCAGCAGCACCCATGTTCCCAGCACCCATCCTTGTGGGACACACGCCCCCATGCAAAGCCATTGCCTTTTATCTCATGATAATGCAGTTTAAGAGCAGTTATGGGGGAACAGGGTCCAAAGCTTTTTGAAAATCCAAGTACATTACATGAGTTGGATCCCTCATACACCGACACTCACTGAGCCCTCCAAACAACTCGTAACAGATCTGTGAGGCATGATTTCCCTAGAAGAAGTTTCACCCCTCCTCATATAATTTTTACTCGTGTTTGCATCTGATTTTAATTTTCATAGGAAAAAGGGACTGCTCACCATCGACATGTTCGTAGGGGAGCCAGTGGTGTTTCATGTTCTGGTACTCAAAGTAAGGATCCCACTGCCGGCACTGCTCCTCTCTGAAATCTTCAAAGTCCTTAGGACAGTCCTGAGTGTTGCACAGCTGGAACTCGTAGCTCGGGCCCATGCACGTGCGGCCTCCATTGGCAGGACTACGGGGAAGAGAGAAAGCCATGGTTAGTTTTGCCATTAATGCATGAATCAAGCATCTATCAAATCCTTTGAGGAGTAATTTAATCCCCAGTCATGTCAGTAGGCATTTGATGAAGCCAGGGATGTATTTCTGGCACGGAAAGTATGTACTTCCTTTAAAAACCCACTACTTAGCTCTTAAAAAATAATTTCTGCAAGTAGAGCCTCAAACCACTTGATAAAGGCAAGAAAAGCCATTCTCTTGGTGCGGCCCAGGAAAGGACAGCACGAGCAGACGAAGCGACCCATTCACCTTCACCCCCAAGCCAGCAGCAAACCAGAACCAGAGCCCGGCTCAGCGCTGCATCCCCCCACAGCCGTGCATCGGATCTGGCAACACAGCTCAGGAGCTGTGCCTGGGTTTGCACCCTCTTCCAGGAACACAGAAAACATTTTAAATAGTACAACAGATTTTACAACTAAAACTGTGCACACAATTATAAAGGTCACTTTCATATTGCCAATGTAATAAAGGCTGAAATTAGAACTGGTGAATTTTTTCTTAACAGAACAATTTCCGTCAGAAAATGCTGCTTCATAAAACTTGAGTGTTTTTTTAATCAATGATAAGATGATTTTTAACACTAGTCAAGTTCAATCACTTTATCAGCACCAATTGAGAAAGTCAATGTTAAAAATATTCTGTCTGGTAAAATAATTTAATTCTGACAATTGTTTCAGTTCTTGCTGTTAGGATCTTGACACTTTATGGTATTGCAATATAGCAATAATTATACATTTCATATCATTTGTACATACCAATCTATATTAAATGTATCACACTTCCAGTGTTACTGAATTTAAGTCATTCTACATTATCTAGATGAGCTATATATAAGTTATCGAAGCAAAACAATTCAATATTATTAAAATTAACCTTGGGGAAGGTTCTGATCTCTGGAGCTTTGTTCCAACTTGGAATGAAAACAGTTTGAAAATATTTTAAGACCTTCTTGTTGAAATATCCGAAAAGGTGGATTAAACAAAAATTTTAAAAAGGTATACGCATTTTTCAAAATAATCCAGCAAATTAAAAAAGAAATTGCCATTATTTCATACTCACATATTAAAACAAGACATATATAGGGCCCTAAACTTCTACTTATGCTTTATGCAATAGCGTTATAGCACTCTCAAGGTCCTTGTAACTGCATAACCAGCTTAATGGATGGATAAACTGAGAAATAAAGATGATTCATGACTTGCTAAGGGCCAAAAGTAGAATTTCTGACAACATACGCTACAGGTCAGATTTAACCAGCGCCACTCAACATCCTTTACTGCATTACTGCACGAGTAATTTAGCAAGGATTCTCGCCATTCATTCGCTCCACATCAGAAAAACATATAGGTGTACGTATACTTACTGCGGATTGTCACACTGCCGTGTCCTGTACTTCACCCCGGTGCCACAGGTGCGAGAACAAGAGCCAAACTTACTCCATGCGCCCCAGTGTCCATCCTGCTTCAGGATGTCTGGTGTTAGCCAGATGCAGTGACCTTTAAAGCAATGCTAAAAGAGAAAACTGGATGTCAAAACGATTAAATGATTAAATTATATCATATGAGAAGCTGTGGTACAACAGATTTCATTTTAGGAACAAATTCTGGATTTTTTTTCACCTCTCCAGGAGAAAGTAGTGCATACGTTAAGTATGCACATACATGCTCGCAGGATTCAAGCCTACCAAGTTTGTTAAACTGCCCTCTGCATCACGTGCCTCCCTCAGACGTCTGCAGAGGTGATTTCAACACAACTAATACAGATTAATTTAAGGGAAACGGCAGAGTCCCAAATCTTGGAGGCTAAATGTAAAACCCTGCCCCTGCCATTGCACGCAGCCACTTCAGGCAGCGATGGCGAGAGCTCCCGCCGCAGCGCCGTCCTTCCCAGCGCCTCCTAACTCAGCATGCATATTCCTGCAATAAATGTGATCAGCAAAGTGGCACGGAATTAAAGGCAGCTTGCATTTTAGACATTATTGCTATTAAATAAAGAAGTCTTGCAGTCTCCCTGGAGATCTCATACTAAACGTGACCAAAATGCCAGGAAGCATTCATTAGGGAGCAGCCCCGGACAGTCCCACTCTGCGCATTTAATCATGCCCGACTAGGCTTTTTTTTTTTTACCTGGTTTTTAATACAGTCACCCTATAGTGGTTGAAATGCACAATTTGCTACATTCCCCAAACCTATATAAGGTATTTACGCATTTCTTTAAGAGCCTTCTTAGCTTCAGTATTGATACTCTCTACTGTCTCCTCTCGTTAAAGACACCCTCCAACGCCTTTCCTCCCATTTCTTCACTCCCTAATCAAGGAATTTTTTCTTAGCTGAAGTCAGGATGAATTCTTCTCAAGGATCACAGATTCTGGCCCTTTCTAGTACTATGTTTGCTTTCATAAAAGCCTGCTGATGACGTGTGGGTGCTGGAAAATATTTCCAGCCCAACAATGACTTTGCATTAAAGTGTCGCAGTTTGTCTGCGTTAACGGTTACTGTCGGGATAAGAGCTCTGGCTCAGGCGCACAGATGGCTATAACAACAAGTGCAATCAGTCACTTACTTTCCTTAACATTCAAGTCAACAACAACATTTTACACAGCTTAACAAGCCCTGGAATGCAGGAATTTGGCAGGCGGCACAAGCCGAGCATATGGCTAAATGCATGCTGCCAGCAACAACAAAATCAGAAGATATATAACAGGAGAGTGTTCTTAAGCATAGAGCGATTAGTGATCTGGAAGACAAATTTAAAAGTGATGGATAATCATTAATAATGCTGAATTTAAAGAGAGATCATTAGTAAAACGGTGACAAGACACAGCTTACTGGTTCGCTAATCTGCTCAATGACTGGCTCTTTATTCATGTAATTTATTTTGGTGCTGATTTGGTTGGACAAGGAGTAGAAAAGAGAGTAGAAATTAGATTTCAACTATTCGTTCTTTCTCATGACTTCAAATATTCAAAGTCAAAACCTATGAAATAGATGAGTTACCACAAAGCCAATTATACCAATCCTGCTCCATAGCTGTAATGGACAGATTTTTCTTAGCTGTTTGACAGAACAAGAGAGAATTCAGCAAAACATGAAAGAAATGCAAAATGCTAATGTGTCCTTTGCTTTCTTCAGTTTTGAAGCTCAGCACTGTACCCTTCAGGGATTGTTTACTTATGGCTTTAGAGAGGTTTGTTTGAAGGAACAGTTTGAGTCGTCGGGCCCTGGGTAGCAATGGGACCATTCAGAGATGCAGGGGAAGCTGGCAAAGCATCAGCTTGTCACTACAAATTTCAGTTGGGCTTGGAAGCAGATGAGATGTGACAGCTCCTGATCTGTGCTTGCTTACACATCCTTTTATCAGGGTTCTGCATCCCTCAGGTGTAAGTTCCACAGCAATCACTGAATCTGTTTCAAGAGCCACGTAGCGTACATTCACTATATGATGATCCAGGATCCAGCGCTTGGACTCCGTGGAGGAGAGGGAGAGACATGTGATGTTGTGTTTTCCAGTCTCTTTTCCCTGTTTTGGCCAGGAACAGGGGATGAGGGTTTGCAACAACCACTAATAAACCACCTATTTGACACTGTGACTGGTCCCTGAACTGGAAGGCAAACATGGAAAAGCGTTATTGACTTTGCTGCATAAAGGAAAGAGCAGCACTGATTTTTACTGGAGAAGCTGGTCATACACCGATCGTCGGGAAGCTGAGGCAGAGCTATTAGGAGACAAGCATTTGTGTAAAATGAGTCATCCCCAGCTCTGCGTTTTTGTTTGTGGATGAAAAGAAAGGAGCCTGCATAAAACAAAATGATTCACAACCGAGTCTTACTCTGTGCAGACCCATGCAACAAAAGATGGGTGAGGAGGTAAAACCAGAGATGGAGCAATCTCCAGTGTAATAAAGGAAGCTAGAGCCAACCCTTCCTATTGCTACTACGTTAACTACATAATGAGGCGGAAAAGAGCCAATTTCAACCACTATTCCCTTCATAAACAGGGGGGTTCATTTAAAGAGTGAAGCATATTAAAGCAATATTTTTTTTTAAATGAGGAAAAAAACTGGGTAAATGCAAATTGTTTTCTTAGTGGAAGACAAGATGACTTCTTGCAGTCTCGCCTATTTTTCTGGCAAACAGGACAGTCCAAAACAAGTGCGGGAGAGGAAGCTTAAATCTCTTGCAGTAAAACATTCCACTGCTGTTTTCAGCAGTTTTTTGAAACTGCTGCGGACGCCAAAAACAGAGCCAGTGTGTTCCTGTGGGCTTAACGCATCTGCAAGTTAATTCTTCAAGAAAAGACTTGCAGATCTTCTGTGGGTATCTCTACCTATTTTATATTGGCTGCAGCTGGCAACTCTCCTGTCTCCTCGCTTGACAGCCCCGTTATCTCCCAGGTACGCCCTCGTACTGCATCGTGGCTGGTGCCCTCCGCCCCGCCCGCTCTCCTGAGATCGCATCAGGAGGGGGTTACTTACTTATTTGTATTTCCCATCACATGCAGGTTGGCCCGCTCTGCTCCATCTGCTTGCAAATAATTAATTGCAAGGGATAAACTGAAAGCTCTAACACTGAAGTATACCGTGAGCCAGTAAAAGTTTCTTCAGCGGAGAATCAAGTATTCTCCCTGTTTCTGTGGTGACTAACACAGCATACACTTACCCATCTGTCTCCTGTCTCCAAGAGAAGCTGAGGTCAGCTTTCTCAGTGGGAAATTATCTGGATTGCTTTGAGTACACATTAGTGTTTTCAGAAACCTTTTTTCTCGGTCCATTTTTCTTCTCAATAATATCAATTTATTTCAATATTTAATCATTCCCTTCCTTTCCTGACAGACTAAAAAATCATTCCAAGTTTGACTCAGGTCGTCTCACTAGCATGGTGCAAGCGAAGAGAATACCTGCTAGGTTTGTGCTGGATCCTTGGCACATAAGCCAAATCCAAGAGCAGCATCAGCTCAGCTGGCCGGGGCAGGTACCGGGCTCCTCCCTCTCTCCAAGAAAAGAAGCAGAGCAGGCTCAGGTGGTGCAAACCTTTGTGTTAGTCACTGCAGCAAGCAGATGGACTCCAGCATGCGATCTCCTTGCATGAATGACTTTGGGTTTTATTTCTATCCTGCGGAGAGCAGTTAGCTACTTCAGCCGATATAAATGTCTCCCCAGAAGAGTAATAGTTTAAAGAAACGGAACAAAAACTGATGATATATTTCCAAAGGTTGCCTGGCTTCAGAAGCCTGAGGCTAACGGTAGAGCTGACAGTATACAAGTAAATAAACTATCAGCTGAAAGCCTATGTTTTCTTTTAATCCACAGAACGCTACGCAGAGTTCAGCTTTGTACAGTTACGCTTCATCTGCATGGTTTACTATAGCAATTTAGGGAGTGTCTTTGACTTGACATTAAGACTCTGACCCTCCTCATGCTTAACTTTGCACACCGGAGTTATTTCATGGAAGTTAATGTGACCATTCAGACACAGAAGTAATCGCCAGCTGCTGCATCACTGAAGTTTCACAAAACTGACAGAATCTTCCCTCTTGCTATTGAAAACTCAATCCAGTTTAAAGAAATCAGGCTGGGAGCAATATAAAATATTCTATTTCCTTTAGGATTCTATCAAAGTAGTAGTTTTCTTCTCTGGCTGGGAAACTCCAAAAGAATATTTTATTTTTCTAACCCTAAACCCAGCAAATTATTAGTTTGCTGCCAGTTAACATAATGGTTGTTCAATGTCTCCATTTGCACAAGGAAACTTATTAAAAAGTTTTTGAAATGGCAGAATCTCACTCTTTTGGCAACTTATTTCAAATAACCACATGCAGAGAAGAGCTTACATGCATTTACATATATTTACTTAAATAGACATCTATACGTATGCATACATACACACATATAGACAGCATTAGGAAGTCTAATCTTCCTTCCACTTCAAAGGGTCAGGGTCAAAGACACAGCCCGGGCGTGCAGAGACATGGCCCTTATCAGCGTGCTTGCTGACAGTGTGCTACAGATCTCGTGCCTCCCACAGCGTTCCTGCCCCTCGATCCTCCGTTAGGAAGCAAGGGCTGGATTCTCCTGAATAGCAGCTGAGAACTTCGGGGAAGCGAAGGGACCGGGCACCAGTCACCTGAACAGCAGGCGCAGGTGAGAACATCTACGCACCATACGTCGCGTCAGTCTCCCGACCATCGCCTTCCGTTCTGGCGTCGGGTCCCTCAGCTGCTGCGCAGCCAGGATGTGTCTTTGACGCAGCAGCACTTTTGCGACTGGTTTGAGCTTAAAATAGGCCCTGGGAATTAGTGGTATGAAATCAGGAAAACTGCACGCCTCGGAAGTGGGAAACAAACGGATCTTTTTGAATCAACATCTTTAATTGCTTATGTTTCTGTTCTGTTCTTTTCTGGCGTTATTCCAAAGAAAAGAGTGGATCAAGTTTGAAGTTATTTTCCTTTTCCTCACGTGCTGATGAAGTGTCGCGGGAGATGTATCTTACAGGAGGCTGCCGCACTGCAACCGAGTCCCAGCTTTGGGCAATGTATGCATTTAACAGTCCTCATCCTTTCAGGTAAAAGTCTCTGGTATTGTCCAAATCGATGAAGAGAGTGAACAGGGAAAGGCCAAATCAAAGGCAGGGATGAAAAGGGAAGGAACAGATGGAAAAGGACTGATCTGATGCACCTGTACTAAAAACACAACAACTAATACATAAACTGGTCAAACGATGAGCTCAGATATACAAAGTCAGTTGTATAACCTTCATAACTCATCCTATTTAAAAAAAAATGTTTAGCTCGGACTGCTGAGCCTTATCTAACAAAATGGTTTTCATTTTATATCATTTTCTCAGGTTCCCCTGGAAGGCTGCAGTAAGTTTATTTATCAAAAAACTGGGACAGCTCCTCTGGGAATAAAAGAGTCATAGTCCTATCATCTATTGAAACTTCAGAATGTGCACATACTCTCTTGCATCTCCACTGAACTAAAAAGCCTGGCTGGCTGCACAGTTTGCTGAAGCCTTGGATCCCAAGTTCCAGTCCAGAGAAAATTTTTACAGCTGAGTTGCATAATATCCTGACAAACTGTTTATAATGGAAGCACTGACAGATCCTCAGCTGTATGGTTATAAGTTCTTTTTTTCTTCTCATTTCTGTTCAAATACTAATATGAATGAATGGCTTGGGGAAGAGGGTGATGCAATAAAATGGAATATAATGGTATTTTTTCTAGGGGTTTCAGGAATATTTTTAACGCAGAAATCAAGATATAGAAAAGTGAATCCAAAGAAACTGTTTAAGATTTTGGATCTTAAATATATATATATTTATTTTTTT